TAATTAAAACCCCACATCTAAATACTTGTTCAATAAAATACATTGTTTATAACTGTCGCACTTGTATAGTTTAGTCACTAGTTAGTGTTGAATTTTGGTATAAAAATTCACACAAAAACCGCAAAAGTTTTCAACAACTCACGTTAATTTATACCTATGGCAATATTTGGTATACATTTTTGTACTGCTTTTATTTGAGTTTATAGTAATTGTAAGACAAATAGATAAAACTTTGACTAAGGGGACCCTTAGTGGGACAGGACATCTATATAAGCCTATGCTCAGATAGCTTAAAAGTAATGTTAGTGAAGTCCCAATATCCGGTGCTTCCGTAACATATTTTATACGTTGGATTATCTGACAATTTACAAGCGTTGTGGGATAGGCCCTTAGTATTCTGCGTCTAAGATCGTAAGTCATGTTGATTGTGGATGTTTATATAAGCATTAGAGTTTATAAATATGCATCTAACAGATATTGTATAATATGCAGGCAACTTCAATGTAACCTTTTGAAGTGCACGCGATATCAATTCATTAATATAAACACATTCATTGCGCAACTACTAGCTATGCCCACATTAGAATATCGTGATAAAGTTTAGACGTGTCGTATACTGATGCCACTCATTTCATACAAAATATCAGAAAAAACTAAGTCATAAGGCAGGTGAAAATTATGTATTTCACATTTGCAATCTAGGATACACCTCATTTATTTCATCATTACATCGTTTACTTATCAAAATTTTAGGATTGTCCGCTCTATTATTTCTTTTATAAATTAACAGTTCGCGAACACCGTAGACTAAACTATCGCACAACTGTTTAGTCTCGCTTTGATTCCGATAAGCTTGTATGGAGGTGCGCACACTACTCGATTTTTAGTTGTTCAAGTAAACAGTTGAATTGTCTGCAAAACAATCGACAACCGCACAACAGTTTTTTAGTCAAAGGTGCACCCGCTCTTAAGTAGGGAAACGGAACTATTACTTATCAGCAAAACAGCAATAAATTGACAGTTTACCTGTGAGTCCAACCTTCTTGCGGCAGACGGCGCACCTATTCTTTTTCTTCTTGTCCTTGCTGGGGTCCTTGTCGTCGGCGTCAGTGTCCGAAGCGCCGGTGCTCGCGCCACTCGTGCCCGCCCCGCTCTCCTCTTCTAACTTCTGAAATATACACAAACTCACCCTTAATCACAACATACACAAATACAAAGAAGTAACAAAAATGACAAAGATAAAAAAAATTCAACAAATTCATAACATACGTAAAACAAATTATATGTGTTTGAAATATGTGACAAATACGGAAACTAAGGATAGTGAGAGATATCACATTGTATAAAGGTTAAAATGAATCGACAACCAAATGCGTTAAACAATACGTTTAAAGTAAAAGAAATGAATGTGTTTCTAATACTAAATAACACTCTCAATGTCCTGTTCCAATCCAATGTTAAAACAATGACACTTCTCGACCAACCCTTTTTAGGTTCTTTTTGACACTAGTCAATGACGAACGTTCGTCCTTCTTATCGAATTTGACGGCTGAATGTTTAATCTTGTCTCGTATATCGTTTGCTTTGAGAGGTTCGACGAAATCATTCTGTATTTTGTCGGGAGTGGGTTCAGCTCTGGCTCGCAACGCGTCTTTCTTGTCTTTCTCGTTGGCCCCGTCAGGGGTAGGCAGGGGGTCGTTGATCTCAACCCCGCGCCGCTTGCTCTGGAAGCTTTTAGACCGAGACACGCTCGTGTCGTCGGCTCCCGAGTTGTTATTACTAGATTTACTGTTACGACGCAGAGCTTTCTTTAATATCCTCTTCCCTTTCGACTCTTTCTTGCTGGGATCATTTTCCATTATTCAAGTTTCATTTTCTCAGTTTTGACATGTTGACTGCAATCAAAATACGTTTAAAACCAAACCATTTCTTGTGTACCGAATTATGAATTATTAAATCGATAAATACGTATTAAATGTTACCACATAATGTCCACAAACGGATTTGCCGTGTTATTCGACCGAGTTGCAACGGTAACTTACATATTTCATTTTTTATTTAGATTTTTATTGTAAAATTATTAGTTTTATATAAAGTACGAGTTTTTAAATTTTCTTCGATATATCAATAACGTCCACTTGACATATATTTATTTTTAAATTAAACGTCACAATGTCAAAATGAGAGCAAAGAGTTTTTTTCTGGTAAAGTATTTTCATACAACAATAGCGCGTGTTGCTTTTCATACAACTTCGGGTACACGGCTGCGCGTGTCACAATTCTTTGCTTCGCGTGACTTGTCTGCATTTCTCATTACTTAATATAATTGCACACAATAGTGCTAGTTCATTATGGATAACAGACATTTTTTATTTTACATAGTAACAAAGTTTGTTCTTGTAATTAGCCGTAAGTAGTTGTATACTCACGGTTCGTGGAAACAATGTTTTGTAAATCATGAAAATCATGGTATTACAGAGCATGGACGAACCACGAGTAGAGCAAAGTTACATTTCCCTGAAAATAAAAGCTAACAAGTTTATTTCAAGAAACATAATGGAATAAACTTCATTTTTACTTCCATGCACCAAAACTTTCATAAAACTAAACTTAAATATTAATATTTTTTTTACATCACGGGGAAACTAAAACAAAATACTCCTTAATTTGCAATAACAAGCTAGAAAGAAAGCAATGCTAAATTGAATAACACAATAATTGCACAACATGCTCACGTATAACCTCGTTTTGGGAAGTCGTTTAAAAAGTGCAAATGATAACACCCAAGACATAGTGGAATTGCAACACAGAGAAGTGACTCACGTGCGATAGCTATAGCAAGATAGCATTCGGGGCATTACTTATAAGGCTGCGAAAGCATAAATCAACAACCATTGTGAGACTTCAACCGAAATACGCTGACCATGGCGCCATTGTAAGCTGTTTGTGCAATCACAAACAATTTATGGTCAAAGTTATACCAAACTAACTATTGCTCGCGATTTCGCCCGCATAAATTAAAAAAAATATAGGCTATGTTACTCGCAGATAAATTACCTTTTTAATGGTGAAAGAATTGTTTAAATCGGCCTAGCAGTTTTTACGTGAATTAAATACATACAAAAATCCAAAAACACATGTCTTTCTTCATAATAATATTAGTATATATATATAGATGAGTCATCCAAAATCATCTAACCAACCAAACCAAAAATATAGCAATAATATTTGGTATAACAGAGATGTCCGAACAATAGTGAGAAAGGCTCCCGAAAATTAGTAACCAAAGCAGATAGAAATACACTAAAACTAGATACATTAAACTGTGGTATTTCACTACAAAAGGTAGCTTTATAAAATAGCGTAACAACGCACATATCTTTGAGAACCGTTCGTACCTACTACACCATGCAACTATATCCAAATTCCTAACATCAGTTTTGAATCTAGATACATCAGAATTAGTACTTATATTAATTTTCATCGTTATAAATGCGGCATATTTCGAGGTTCGTGTTTAAAACAACAATAATTCGCGAGACGTGCTACCTGCACGTGTAAAGTCACGAACAACATTTATGTAGCTGACGTACGGAGAATGATGAAACTCGATAACTTGCCCATAGCCGTTTGTGTCAATTAATTGAAGAAATTATAACGGCCACGTGCATAAGTAAAATGTTAATAAAATAAAAGCACCAAAAACAATGGTAGAACAAACATTTTTAATTTCACAAAAGCGTTAAAATATGCACCTAATTATTTAAAATACAAATTAAAATTTAAAAACATGCTTAATGTAACATTACGTGTTAAAAATCATTTTTAATGAAAATTAACGATTTTATTGACTGATGTTATACCATTATATCCACGGTGAACACGATCGTCTGAATTACCAAGTTCCATCACGCAGTTAGTAAATATGCTAAACAATCTGATACTGCTGTATAAATATTTTCGAAACACATTTTATGTTATCAATGAAGTGCAGATCAATTGACCCTTGGGTAGAAATTACTTGAATCCAGAATTATCTCCTTCCAAATGTGTTTTCGAGGTACGTGAGGGAACTTGGTAGGTGCATAACAAAGGTATAACGGCCTCACGTCTGTGTGTGTCTGCGGCTGTACGGGCAGGCTGGGCACTGTGGGCGCGGCGGCCGCGAGCGGCGTGGGCGTAGGCGCGGGCGCTGGCGCTGGCGTGGGCGTGGGCACGAACGACGTCGCCACCGGGGACGGCGTACTCGCCGGCGGCTGCTGCTTCTTCTTTAATGCCTCCTGAAATCAATTTGCAGGAATCCATTACTATTCGACTATCTTTTTTAAGGTATGACAAAAATTCAACAACAAAATTTAATAAATGTAGTCACCACTTCATAACAAATTATTAACACGTCCCATGTCGCTAAATTTTTTACGTATGTAAGTAAACTCGCCGTCGAGTTGGAGGCACTAAGTGTTTTTTGCTGAATAATTATATGGTCAAGAGTTACGGAGCCTACTTTTCACTTTTAGTCTAAAAATGAAAAAATAACATTTAAAAACGTGAGTTGATGGTAAAATAATACATTTTTCATTGTTAACTTGTAGTTCCAACTATCACTAAAGCGTGCCTCTTTGTTAGAATTTTTTTTAGTGAAACTTTATTATACAAACAAGTTAAAAGTATTGTAAGAACGATTCTTTAGTTTGTCGGACAAAAAACATTTGTAAGAAAATTATTTCAGTGTTGGGTAGGTATCTAAAAACTGGCCACGTCGCAGACTACTTTGTTCGCATACACTTGAAAAGCTACGAGAAAAACACGAGCCGATACAGGGCATTTGCCTCGTGGATCTATCGTACCTCTGATTGAATTGCGCAGAAAATTGTTTTGCCAGATTTTGAGTATTAATTTATAAATAGATTTTAGAAGCGATTGAGTTTATTCCCTAAATGTGATGCAGTAATGTTGTTATATCTATTCTGAAGTGCAGATATTTTATTTCATTTCCATAGATTGGTAGTACTATAGGAGATAATTTTTGCGTAATATACGGTTATCAATAATTGAAACCTAAAACAACACAAACTTTTCTATTTGGTATTATCTTTATTTGCTAAAATTAGCAATTATTTATAAATCAAAACATAGAAAACCAGTTCTTTCCAGACAATCTCCACCGCTTTTTACAGCTTACATGGTCATATACTTCACATTATTAATAGTATATTAGATACTATTACTCATTTTATAGTATTTGAGGTTGTGTTTAACATTGTGTAGTAATTAGTAATCCGTCGTGTATAACGAATAGTTTGAGCACAGCGTCATGGCATTGTTCCCGCCAGTCGCGGCTCCGGCAGTGACCTCCAAGTTGTGTACTTTTGTAATTAAATTATGCAACAACCTTAAAACCTCGCGAACTTGTCGTATAGTTTAGCACATTCGTTTGATCAAATAATACGCATGAAATTTTATAAGGTCTCCTGCCGCGTATTAACTCAACCGACTTCATCTTTAAATTTCTTTCAAAGAGTAATTGTGCAATAAATAGCTGATATTTATTTCCAGTAACATGAAAGAGATTCGCAGAAGTGATGCATGTTACAATTCCTTTTGATACGTTTTCTTCAAGTCCTATCTATTAAAAACATTCTTAGCAAACAACAAATACAAGCTAAATTTAAATTTCTACATTAAATACATGCGCTTCTTAATTAGCTTATTTCCCACGTTATGTGAACAGTCCGCAATACTTATATTTAAAAACGGCTTAACTGCCCTGGACCTCCCTATTGTTAATATTAGCGTCTTGCAACTGACTAATTCAATAGCAATATGGGTACCGCATTTTTAGCAACCGAGCCAACATGGATTTAGTAATCCAATGTACCTTGAAAGATTGTATGGAGTGGAAACTTTATACGTTTCGTGACTCGTTGTCTGTAATGTTACTAAATTATTCCTTGCATTCCATTTAACACTGCAAGGGAAAAACTTTTAAGCCCACGCAAACAACCAATTGTTGAGGTCCAAGCCAAGCATCTATATAATTTTATTAGGCTTTATTTCATTGTGATTATCAAATGGTTACACTGAACAGAAGTGCGAAAAGTGAGATAACAGAAAAAAATCCACTAAATAAGCCTATAATTGATACTATTCATTATAGGAAAATATAATAACTTTTCGTTAGTAGAGACAAATCATTATTAGATTTGGATAACAGGAAGTTCCTTAGTCCGGACTTCCTACATCTAATAAAGAATAACAAGTAATACTTGCTCGCCTCGTGGCTAGCGTGTACTTGTCTCAGTAAACACGACACTTATAAAGCCCTTACTTAAGCAAAAGGCTCATAAGAATATAAGACATGGGGAGTTTGTATAGGTGAAATTTCTTCTAAGAATCCATATTAAACGGTCGAGTAAAATAGACTGAAAAGGGATTCCTTAACTACTCGATTCACGAATACTGCTTATGACAGTTTCTAAAGTTCAGAATCTTCACGCACATCATCGCTCCAATTCAAAGTCAAATGTAAGTTACAGAAGGTCAACAGGCCCGAGCGTGTCTCGGAGAGTCATTAAATATTTCCACATAGCGCATTCAATGCACGAGCATTTTATTAAAAAATAAAAATCAACGTAACGACCATACGTGTTCCTAGACGAAGGTTACCAACCACAATAATTATTATTTTAGCTTTGCCGCGATCAATCTCGAATACTAACATTTCGTAACATTATTTTACATTAATTAAGCGTGTAGTTGTTATAACTATTGTGCAAATGCATTTACTAAGAAAATTACAACGAACAAAGTCGAGATATTTGGTTTAAAAAATAAAAATATAAAAAAATACTAGTCACCTTTAGATGTTCGATAAAAAATCAACAAACTGGTATCTACAGATCTGTATTCGCTCTACATGAATATCTCATTAGATGCAGCAAACAAGTTATGAATTTACTAATTATTATTCTATTGCTATTTATTTTTTAAATCTTTGCTATTTTTTAAATTGTTGACTAAGGTCAATACGAGTTAAATAATATTTTTACCTTAAAGCAGACTGAGCAGAGGCCGTCAGTGGAGGGGTTGCCGTAGAAGCCACATCCGGAGCGGCAGAGCGCCTCCATCGGATTCGATTCTCTCTCCATATTTGCACGATAATTTCACGTTACAACACAACAACAAAACTGTCCGAGCAGTCAACAACAGTACGATTGCACAAAAGTATATTGCACTTTATTGTCTTAACACAAAACTGCACAATGAGCACGGAGTTCAACCTTGCAATTTAGTCGGTCCCTTGTATGCGCACGGGTCTGCACGCACGGGCAGTGGCTTCCCTTGCCGTCTTACTACTTCTTTCTGTGTCAGGAACGCGGAGGGCCCTGGAACAAAACAAATAACTTAAATTAACGGTGCAAGGATTAAGTTTCAAATCAAGTCATAGGACACAAATTACCAATGATCAATTTTCACGTGACATAAATATTGTGTACTGTAATTTATGCAAAGACAGTTATAAAATATTCTATTCCCATTTGATGATTTTAACAATAACTAAATGCTTCCCTTTATTCTAGTGAACTATGTCTGAACAAATAGAGACACACGTTATTATTTACGTGTGTACAAATATAAGACTGACTTAAAATTAAATTGATATTAGTATAACAATATGATTTTACACAATATGTTCTATAACATTTGAACGAGATGAAACGGTCATGACACGACACGAGTTGTAATAATCAAGAGTTAATAGAAAGCTGATCTGCGTCTCGATTTCGTAGGGGCGAAGCATAATATGCATAACGACAAGTTTGCATAACAAGAGAGAGCTATGGTCTAAGTGGAACGCGGCTAAACGGAGCATGGCCTGCGTCAAGGTCTCGCCAGCGCCACGCCAACCAGATTCGAGCCCCGCACACCCGAAACTACAATGACCCTGCTGTACAAATATGGACAATACCATATTTCTATCTACATAACATCGGTATATTTCATGGAATTTGTCAGAAATATTAAAGTATTTATGTCCGAATGATATTCAAATTGAACAGCT